TATAATACATGCTATAAACATTTAATTTTTACTGTATTTTTGATATCTCATGTTACAAAGAAATGGAGTCAGCACACAAAAGAGCTACCTGCATATGCATTTATTGTACACTATTCACAGTAACAAAGACATGGAATCAGCTCGGGTGCTTGTGAACAGGTGAATGGATAAAAAAATGTGGTATAAATATATATATAATGGAGTATTACCTAGCCACAAAAAAGAATGAAATCATGTCATCTGCAAGAAACTGTGTGGAACTGGGGCATCAAGTTAAACAAAACAGATCAGACACAGACAATTATCATACATTTTCTCTCACACAGAAACAAAGAAAAAGAATGACCTCAAAGTAATGACAGACTATTACAGTAGAAGGGGACTGGGGGCGGGCGGAGGAGAGGGAGAGGGGGAAATGAAGAATCAAAGAGCCGATAGATAGGATCAAAGCACGGTACATGCATTTGTGAAAATGTAACAGTGAAATCACTAATTTGTGCAATTAATATACATTAACAATGATAAAAAGGTGCATCAATTACTTAAGAGCAGAAGAAGCCAATAAGTGGAAGCACTTTTGGCACCAAGAAATGGGGGAGGCTTTACGAATGAGGAGGAGCAGGCTAGAAGGAATCCAGAAGATTGCTAGAAACAGAACATCGAGGGCAATTTTAGTGAGGCTCACAAGGGAGCTGTGGGGAGAGTTCAAACCTTGAAATGAAGGCTCAGATTAAAATGGAGAACGGTATGCTGGAACTGAGTAATGGCATTCTTGTCACACAGTTGTAAAGAATGTGGCAGCACTGGGGCCACGTCCTAGACCTCACAGAACGGAGACTTAACCCGTACGTAGTACCTGCTGTAAAAAAATATTAAAGCAACCGCAGGTGTGGCGGTGCATACCTGTCATCACGGCATTTTGGGAGACCAGAGTAGGAGGGTCGAGTCTTGAGTCTTGCATGGACAACTAGTGACAACCTGTCTCAAAATAAATAACAAAAGAGGGCTGGAAAAGCAGCTCAGGGTAAGGCCCTGTGTTTAACCCACAGTACTAAGAAAAACGAAAAAGGAAAGTAGCCACCCAGCAGGCGGAAGGTCTGGACACTGAGATCCATCAATCCATCTCTCTCTCTTTTTTATTTTTGGGTAAGATGGTTTAAAGATGATTTGAAATTTAAAACAAAGCAGAATGATCTGGGAAAAGCTTAGGCTGGTCATGAAAAGGCATGTTCGGGGAGAATGCTAAGAATAAGGCCAGGGGACCATTTACTAAAGAGTCACAGGTTTAGAAGGGTACCCAGGCGTGGCGGCACACACCTGTAATTCCAGCACTCAGAAGGCTGATGCAGGAAGCTGAGGCAGGAGGATCACGCTGAGGTCAAGCCCACCCTGAACTATGCAGTGAGACTCAGTGTCTCCAAAAAAAGGATGGGGGGAAATGGGGGGAGCCATTAGGAGAGTAGAGGAAGTCACTGCAGAGCCCCCTGAGGTAGCTTCCCATCACCAGCCCAGCCTCTCAAAGGGCAGCAAGGTGTCAAGGGTGACTCCCATGCCCTGCTGCCCAGGGCTGCCTTAGGGCCCTGCTCCCACAGCTCACCTACATGGTGTGGTTCAACAGCCCGGTCCTGGTTCAGTCGGGCCCACCGCTCCGGAAGTTTTAATCAGAAAGCCCTGGCAGCACCTACACAGTGTTAGTCTGCAGGCCTGCAGGTGCAGGGAGCTCGGCTTTCTAGGAGGCTGCGGACACCCTGAAGGCCCAGGCAGAGACGCACTGCAGGGTGGTCACTGCTCTATCAGGACAATGCCCAGTGCAGCCAGGGGATTTGCAGCACCTCAAGACCCCCGAACTCCAGCGCTGTCAGCACACACCAGCCAGGAGGACTGAAGCACAGGACTCCAGTCTGGAAGGGGTGCTGCCTGGCCTCAGCCCAGTGGTGGGGCCGGGGCTGCACCCAGGGCCTTGGAGGCCCACTCCCACGCCAGTGTGCCCAGGACATGGGTCGTGCAGTCACAGGAGAGGGCTCTCCAGGGTTAACCCTTACATGCGCCTTCCCTGCTTGAACTGACTTGGGACCAACTGGCCTTCTCTTGCCTGCATTTCTGCCTTCTGGGACGGGAACGTCTGTCCTCGCGCGGTCTCGCCGCTGCATTTGGGTAGCAGACAACTTCTCTGATGTCCCAGCTTCCCGGGTGGAGAGAACTTGCTTTACTTAAGATGCACTGTGCCTGAGGCTCATCCGTATCTCGCATCAGACTAGCCTTCTCCTTTCCTTTCCTGCTTTCCACGTGACTTTTCCACTGGTGCCGGAACAAGACTTTGGGGTGTTTGGGTGGAATGAGTGTACTTTTCACGTGTGACAGACATGATCAGGGAGCCAAGTGCTGTGGTCTGAATGCATTCGCCAAAAGCTTATGTGTTAGAACCTTAATCTCCAAATTAAGAAATGGATGACATTTGGAGGTGGGACATTTGGGAGGTGATCAGTGTTAGCGGAGCCACAGGCTGTGGGCCATCACAGCAGTATGAGGTCAGAAGAGAGGCCAGGCTTACGCTCTTGTTCTGTCTGTGCCGTGCTATGACCCAGAGAAAGGCCCTCGCCAGACATGACTCCTTAATCTTGAAAATCCCAGCCTCCAAAATGTACGAAATTTCTTTTTTATAAATTACTTAGACACTGGTATTATTTTATGGCAATAGCAAATGAGCTAAGCTCTTTTCTAAACATTGGCAAAATTCTTTTCATATAACTGCAATATTCAAGCCTCCCACAAAACACGGTATCATTTGTACTTTCATGTAGCTACTGGCTTCAGAGTTACAACTTCTCATGGTAACAAAATACCCATCACACTAAATAACCGCTCATTAAAGAACAGCACTTTTTGAATACTGAGAATGTCTTTCTTATTTCTTAATGAGTCAATGAGTTCTTTATTCCACTATCACTTTCATTCTTATTTTTATATTAAAAAAGTTCGATTATGACTGCTTTATGAATTTTTTTTGTACCAGGAATCAAACTCAGGACCTTGCACTTGCCAGACAGACTAAGTTATATCCCTAGCTCTGCTTTATGAAATTTGAAACAGACTGCCAAAAATTTATTTTTTAAAAGGTTTACACTGCCACTGTTGGTTGGTTTGATAGAATTTATTCCACTTGTCAGTAATTCTGACCTCAGAAGGTGATTTTCTAGCCCAGGGAGCTTAAGGGACTTCCCGCCCTGCCGACCACAGTTACTAAGGTGGGAATTCCCCTAACCGCAGTCTAATAAGAGCAAATTAAACACAGCTTTCAGAGTATAGGCTATGAAACAACCAGCTGATTATTTCGGATTCCTGACAGTTGAATCTCCAAAGAGAAACTGATATCTTGTTTCCTGGCAAGCATTCGCGTTTTGTTTCCAAGAAGGAACTTACATTTCTATCATGTGTTAATTTAAGATACCCACTGCTACTCCAACACAGAGGGAAACAAATGGATGGATACAAAGTGAACAGAAAACTGACAATCAGAAACAGTAACAAAGCCGCATGACATCAAAATATTGGGCTCTGTTCAGTTCATGTGTCCATTTATTGGCTGGATCACTTGTAGGGTTTTGCTGCTGCTGTAAAGTTTTTTGAATTCTTTAGATACTCTGGATATTAATCTGTGGGAAAAGCAGCTGGCCAAAAGTTTCTCACATTCTGTAGACTATATCCTCACGGTTGTTTCCTTTGGTATAAAGAAGCTTTCTTATTTGATGTAATGCTATTTGTTGATTGTTGCTATTATTTCTCAAGCTACTAAACCCCTATTCAAGAAACTGTGGCCACTTCCGATGTCTCGAAGTGGTTCCCCTTTATGTTTTCTTCTAGCCGTTTTCCAGTTTTGGGTCACATACTTACATCTTTGACTCATCTTGAATTGATCATGTTGTGATGCAATCCACAGTAAGTAAACTAGGGAAATAGCCTCGGTACCTATCCACTCAAGACAATGGGGTGCAAACACAGCGGAGTATTATTCAGCCCTAAAGCAAGTGTGATCATGCCATTTACCAAAACATGGATGAAACGGGGAACACGTTAAGTGAAATAAGCCAGACTCAGAAAGACAAAGGCTGCGTGTCTTCTCTCATATGCAGAACCCAGAAAGAAAAAATAAAAATAGACATGGAAGAGGTCCTAGAGGAGGTGGCCAGGTGGAAAGAGGGTAACAGGAACAGAAATGATCAAAGTACATTAACCGTGTGAATCAGTCAAAGTGAAACTCACACTGCACACCCGAGATGCACAAGGACACAGAAAAACACCAGGCTCCACCTACATTTCACAGTTACCTCAATTCCAGCTGCGATAAATTCTGTACAAAGCACAGCATTGCTGTGTATTTCCAGAGAAATCGGGTGCCTTTTTAAGCTCATGATGGACTCCCGAGGTTGTAGAGTCATTATGTTATCATGCCTTTCTTCAATATTATAATAACATTTTAGAAATGTTAAGATGCAGTAAATAAAGAGTTTTCTTGAAGATATTAGTTTAATTCTTCCTAGTCCTTACCTTTTTGGGGGGTTACTGGGAATCAAACTCATGACCTTGCACTTGCCAAGCAGGCGCATGTGCCACTGAGCTAAACCAACCCCCTGTCCACTTTTTTTTTTTTTAAATACAGGGTTTGATTATATAGGTCAGCCTGGCCTTGAACTACTATGCAGCCCAGACTGGCCTCCTGCCTCAGCCTCCTGAGTGCTGGGGTTGTACGTGTGTGCCACCACACCCAACCCTATTCCCTATATTTGAATCCATAGTAAAAATGATCAGTGGATACCAAAAACAGGAGTGGGGAATAGTGACCTCTAATCGTGTATACTAGGGAGAGATGTCAAATATAGTACATAGAACAGGGCAGAAGGGAAGACTGATCTTTAACTCAACAGAGGGACGGTGCTAACCCACCACAGCACCCATGGCAGGGACAGTTGGAGGGAAAATCACGCAGACTCAAGCAGAGCCAAACCAATCAGAGCCCAGGAAATGCCCCTGCCTGGGAGGAGCGTCCCTTGGCCTCCCCTGCTTGCACCTTACGAAGCCCAGCTGGGCCAGGCGAGGCAGACAGCACAGCCTCCTCCTTTGTTTCCTCCTGACCGAAATCCTCGGCTCTTCAGCTGGGCCTGCACCGCGCAGCAGACACTGCACAGCCTCGGAACCTTTCCCCACTCCTAAGCAGACACGCACGTCTGAGTACACGGTGAGTGACAGAACATCAGGAATAAACAGAGAGCTCAGGATAAAGGCAAATCTGAGCATCCTTCCAAGAACCACCTCTCTGTCCCTCCCCGTCCACCTGAGAAGTCAAATTCTGTCAGGAAACGGAGACAACTTGAAACACTCTGGATTCACTCATTCACGCTGCTAAGAACTGAGTCCAGGGGCTTTTTACTGCTGAGCTACATGCGCTCCTGGCTGTTTGACTTTTTCTGTTTTGAGACAGTCTTGCTAAGTTGCCCAGGCTGGGCTCCAAACCGCAATCTTCAGCAGAGTAACTAGGATTATGGGTATATGCCACCCTAAGAAGTTTTTTGTTTGTTTGTTTTTTAAAGTAAGATTCAAGAAGACTCTAAATGCAACGAGGACTGAGAGCCACTATGGGGGAGCAACGGATCCTACTGAGGATCACTGACAACGGGAGGATGCTTCCTAAGGCGGGAATGTCGCTGCCAAAGAAGAACCACAGTGAACACAGCTAAGCCAGCTGGAGCCAGGTAAGAGGTTCGGAACATAAACTTGACTCATCTTCCAGGAGACAGAGGAAAAGAGTTAGAAAGGGTAACACATGGGAGGTTAAAATAAAAAATGAGAGGCAGGAATAAAGATCCAGGAAAACAAGAAAAAACACTAATTAGATAAAAAATAAGTTTTCTTTTAATTCATTAAGGTTTATTTTATTTTATTTTATTTTGAGACAGGATCTCCCTATGAGTGCATACTGACCCTGAACTCACCCAGCTGGCCTTAAACCCATGGCAATCCTCTTGCTGGTTTAATGCTGAAATTTTATACTTTTTATTATAAAACAAAATTCAAATACAGAGAAATTCAGAAAATATATTAATAGGTTACCTGGGTATTGGAAGTATGTGTACTTGGTTTTGGTTTTGTTGTGTTGTGTCGGAGACCAAACCCAGGGCCTTGCACACGCTAGGCAAGTGTTCTACCACTGAGTTATAGTCCTAGCCCTGTTTATCACAAAGTAAATCCTCATTTATTAATTACCTAGACCGAGGGAGAGGTAAAGACTTAAAAAATAACATCACCCTCAGTAACATCACCCTCACCCCACGTCCTCTTCTAATTATTACCTTCCTTCCTCTTCCCCTAAAGTAACTTATACTTGGACTTTTAATAATCACTCACCTTACACGTTTCTGTATAGTTTTACCATCCATAAAAAAAAAAAATCAAAGGTTCACATCATTTGGCCTCCACCCATGTAACAACTAATTCCAGGGAAGTATCACCATGGATGTTAAACATTAGGTAAACAGGGGTTGGAAACCAGTATATTCACGTCTCAAGGTCTCATCCTATGGTTACACCTCTGTAAGGTTTAAACCAGAGGCGGTGTCTCCAGATATAATAACCAAAATGTCCAGGATACAACCCAAAATTAGAACGCATACGAAGAACCGAGAAAACCTCCTAGTAGCAGAAAAGACAGTCAACAAACGCAGTGCTAAGATGCCGTGATTACTGGCAAAAAGAGGTCAAAGCAGCCATAATAAAAGTGGGTTCTGATAAGTAATGCTGAATACTCTAGAAACAAATGCAAAGGTAGGAAGCCTCGGCAACAGAACAAAAGAGACAGAGAAGAACCAGACACACGTTTTGGAACTGAAAATCAAATAACCAAGTAAGAAAACTCTACTGATGGGGTCACTAGCAGCATAGAGATGACAGAAGCAGGAGGCAGTAAACTGGGATAAATAAAAATTACTACGTAAACAAGAGAAAAGAGACCGAGAACATAAAAGTAAATAGAGCTTCACTGGCCACAGGACAGTGAGAAAATATCAAATATTTATGTCATCAGAGTTTTATAAGGGACGGCAAAGCGTGCAGGGCAGCAAAAGTAGCTGAAGAATTAATGGCTGAATTTTGCTAAATTTGACTGAAAACATAAACTTACATGTGAAAGGATCTTAGCAGATCCAAACAAGATAAGCATAAAGAAATCTATTTCCAGACACATCATAGCCAAACTATGCACATTAAAGACAAATCTTGACTGGAACTAAAGAAAATTACACAGTGCTAGTAGGGAACAAAGATTTCAAACACGGTAAACTTCTCATCAGACTCTGCAGAGGCCAGCAGGAAATACAACAAGGCCGGAAAAGGCTCCAACAACGAGGAGAAGGCCACCAATACAGAGCTGCAGCTCCAGCCCACGCTCCTTTAGGATGGAGGTAAAACCAGCACATTCTCAGGGCTGGGGTGTAGCTCAGTGGTGCAGCACTAGCCCAGCACGCATGACTCCCAACACTGTAACAGAGATACAGACATTCGCAGATAAAGAAGCAGAATACTAAGAAAACCTGTTTTCAGCAGATCTACTCTAAAAGAATCACTCAAAATTCCTCGCAAGAGTCCAGCACCAGCAGGAAACCTGGGATATTAAAAAGGAGGAAAGAGCAAAAGAAACAGTAAATATCTGGAGGAACGTTTTCACCAGTTGACTTATTTATAATACATCCTACAGCTAAAAGCAGCGCTGATACCGTCCACTCCTCAATGTACATGAGTCTTCTATTACAAGACGGCCGCAAAGGGAGGAGGGCGGCAGTGTGTCTACACCCACTGGGAGAGCTCAGTGCTCACTAAGCAGACTGCAACATTTTAAAGAGATTTCTAGTAACCACTGAAACAATTTATAAAAAGGGACACTGGAAAATACACATTAAAAAAAAACTGCCCTGCATCCTGATAGTGATGGCAGTTACACAAATCCATGTAGGTATGAGAATTCTCAGAATTACACACAGACACACACACACAGTTTTTTGCATACTGATTTTAAAACTGTTCTTTAAAGAACACAGACAGGTACAGGTGAAGACCAGCACCCAAAGAACAAGCAGAGAGAAAACATGGAAGCGAGGAAGCGGACGGAACCGAACCAGGGCGACCCGGCCAGCAGGGCGCGCAGTGCGGAGGGCGGCATCTGCCGTGTCTCCTGGGCCGGCCGCTGGACAGCTGATGGTGACTGGGGCAGGAGCTACGCTGCTCCGGGCGTGGGAGAAGAGGGAGGGCCATTTGCCCGCCTTGCAGCAGAGAATGCCTGCCAAAATGTGGGGAAGGGAAGCCAGCCAGACTAGACTAGTGCATTACTAAAAGCTCACAGTATTTAAAACCATAACAACTACTAATATTTACTGAAAACCTGCCATGTGCTAAGTAATGGTTTCCCAATCTTGAGATGTATATGGGTGGTTATGACGCTTAAAAATATTCCTCTACATTCTTTCCTACTAACTACTGTATTTAAATCATTTGAATAAAGATAAATACAAATATTGTTTATGTATATGGCTCTTTCTAGTATCAACCAAACAAAACAAAACAACCAAGAGCTAGGGGTGTGGCTCGTTTGTAAAGCACCTCTCCAACATACAGAAGGTCCTGGATTCAAATCCTAGCACCACATTCGTCCATCCATCAGTCTATCCACCCACCCACCCTAAAATCACCAAACTAAAATTCTCCTTCATAATAATTTAATGTTGACACATAAGACTTGTTTTGTAAACACTAAATTGCTGCTCAAAACATGAATACAGCACAGGCTAAAGTACAGGTCCTTTGAGATTGCCCTCTATTTTTTATTTCAACTACAGAGTTATCCTTTACAGCTTGGCTACTGACAAGCTTTGGCACTGTCTTGGAGAAAACACATTACTACATATTAAATATAGTTTCTTCTCTCATCAGCCAAGAACTACTTGGATCCAGGAGCGCTTGACACACAAACACCAAGTGAGCTGGAGGCACAGCACGACAACCCAGAGATTACCACCCAGAAGCCTTTTAATGGATAAATATTACCATCGTCATCAAAACACAAAAACTCTCGATGGCCACAAAAGGCAAATCACAGAGCTCAGGGAAGACGTCCTTTGGCTGTGTTTGAGGAAATGGAGCTGAAAGTGTTGCACACATTGTGTGACTCGGGCACTGAAAGGACCTAGGGTGGGCGTGTCGGGTGAGGACCTCAGTTTTCCTAGACCTTCCATAAAAAGTTTATTTTTAAAAATGTCAGTCACACCAGAATCCTTGGTAAATAAGGTCACAAAAGCAAGAATAAAAGCAATAACAAAAAATTCACCGTCCATTATTTGAGAATATTAGAATCCTGATGCTAATGTGCTTGGCTCTGGTTGAAATGATTTAAAGATAACCAGCATGTGTTCCACGGCAACCTATATGCAGGAAGAAGCCCACGAGATATCACATGACATTTAGAAAGAGACAAAACTACCGAGAATAAACCAACCCGTTCCTGCCAGGAGTTTGGGAGGAGGACAGAGGGAGGAGGAGGCGTCACATGGGAGTGTTTAGGACAATAGAAATATCTGGTATGACACTGTAGTGGTGGAGAGGTGACATTAGACATCTGTCAAAACTCATATGTTACAGTCAGTGCAAACAATGGGCTTTAATGTATGTTATTTCTTAAAGCCTTTTGGGAGGTTTGGGGGCTCCAGGGGGATTAGAGCTTATGATAAGAGCATCTAACTATACTATAAATGTATGAAACAGTATCCCTGAGAGAGGGAGAAAAAACCAGCGCAGACTTAGGTAGGTCTGAAAAAAACAGCAGCAGCTTTAAGCCAAGACAAAAGGGACTCCCTGTAAGCACGGAGTTCCAGCTGACTACATTTCCTTGAGGTACGGGCTGAGAATTCTCATACCACTATTCGGGGACCGGCAAACTGAAAGTTACGGGAATAAAAGCAGATCACAGGAGCCAAACTCTCCCCGGGGGAGAGGACGTTTAGGGACAGCCGGGGGGAGGCTACAACATGGTGGTGATGGAGCTGAGCGGAGGCATCAGTGGGAACTCAGGCTCGGCTTCCAGCAGATGCACGGCTGTGTGGGCAGGCACAGGTTAGTGAGTCAGCCTTTGCTCAGGAGGAAGAAGCACACTTAGTGCCTAATCCTGATTTCCAACAGCATCCTCCTATAAAAAGCCAGGACTCCTTGGAGACATGGTTGATTCTAGAACCGAAGCAGGGACCACAGGAGAGGAGCCTGAAGTACCTTGCGCTGCAGACAGGAAGGAAGCGCTTTAAAAGCAAGTCAGACACTGGCGGGGAGGTGAGGAGGAGCGCGGAGGCTGAAGGCTCTGCAGGGCCGAAGGTGGATAATCGTCATCAAATAGAAATCAAACAGATAGTCTGCGGTCAAAATCCAGACTATAAAATAGATATTCATTCGCCCGTACAGACATAAGCGTGTGACTGAATCAATCAATCCCGGAGAAAGGAGAGACGCCTTGTAAGCGGAAAAACAGGACCTGAACTGCAGCCTGCTGTAACCAAAGGCTGTGTCACAGGTTTCAGAAACAAAAGAGAGACTGTGGCACTCAGGACTGCATTGTTTGTTGTTCTGTTTTGTGTGAAATATGAGATCATTCAAGTGGCCCTCAGGAACGGCTTCCAAAATAGTTAAATTAATATTTAATTATTATTTACTAAAATGAACACAGTCACTTATGAGGCCAAACTTATGATTCAGTTGGGTGTTTCTGTATGCTATGTATTCTCCAGTATCTTGGAGATTTTCAGAGTCAGGAGAATGATTTGGATCATATAAAACTAAGAATGGAATCTTAGGTTCATCTGTTATACAAATGTACAGTTGTTACTTTTTGGTGGTGATCATGATTATCTAACAGTAACAGTCAACTATGAGCCAAGGTCACTGGCTACTTTCCCCCCACAGTTACACCTCGACTTTATCACCCGAGCTTCTCAAAGGGTCTCTCAGGGAACACGGGCACCCAAACCACCAGAATCCTGTTCCCTTCGGAAGACAGCTCATGCCTCAGATCTGACAGGATTGGTCTGCTTAAGAAATGCCCTTCCTCTGGGACGCGGACATGCCAACAGGATGACAGCCCGCCTTCCTCTCTATGCTGCTGTTACTGAACACTCACCGGGTGTCTAACTTCCTACACTAACACGAACACAACATGTAAATTCTGAAAGAGGCCATGAGGGATTGAGAAAGTCTTGGACATTACTTTCGGATCCTTCCTCTCACACAACAAAATAAACTAGTTTTTCTTAAAATTCAGAAAACTACATTGTTTATTTCCTGTGTGTGTGTGTGTGTGTGTGTGTGCGCGCGCGCGCGCGCGCGCACGTGCATGTGTGTGCTGGGGAATGAAGTCAGGGCCTTGCACAAACTATTACTCCGCGTATTAGGGTCTAGACTCTGCTTTCATCTGATGTCATACAAACGAAGAACTTTTGAAAAGTATGTAGCACGATGCTGGCATAGTTAGCACTGCAGCTCTGGATGACCTCATCTGAACTCCACCAGTCTTGAAAAGGAGACAGGAAAACTGCCAGCCACTGTGCCCACCCTGATGGTGTAATGTGTTCACGGTACCTCCCCAGCAAGCGGCAGAGCACAAAAAGATGTGGTCTCCAGATTCCAAGCCAGACGCTGTGCTCAGGACTCCTGCGCTCAGGTTTCCAATTTCAGGTCTATGTCTAACTCCAGACTAAACACGGTCTGCATTTTTCCCATTCCACAGGAACATCACCTTGTCTTCTCCATTTTCCCTTTCTTAAAGACCTGAAGAAGCCCAGGTAGTGGCTATCACTTAGGTCCTCAGAGATTCAGTACCATGACATCTGCTCATCAGAAAACTGGTTAACCATGTCCTCTTGTTTTAAAACAAAACAACCAAGAAATCTGGGTTGGAGAATAGCTCAGTGGGAAAGCGCTTGCCTAGCATGTTCGAGGTCTAGGGTTCAATTCCTAGCACTGCATAAGGAAAAAGAAAAAAAAAGTCACACCAGCAACACAAAAAGAAGAAATATTTCTCCTTTTAGGAAAAAATGCTCCTCCTGTGCAAAAAGATTGCCTCTCTTTTTATCATCCCGTGGAAACGTTTTTAGGTGCAGCAGAGGGAAGGAGGCCAGGCCAGTGTCTTCCTGAAACAGGTGTTTACAGCACGTCTCTCAGAGCTGCATCTTGTGCAGTATACATTTGTACACCACCTCGTTTATACAGTAACTTACTCTGTTCCACCACTGATTCTTAGGTTTCCCGTTAAGCAACCCAAAAGTACTACATGAACTACACTACACCAAAAGAACAGTGTACTGTGTTAAAGCAATGCTGATTTGCTAACATCCCAGTTGTACAAAATGCATTCTGTGCTAGCGACCGATGTACCGCCTGCAGCTCTGAACTTAACCTCCAGCCCGTCTGCACTGAGGGCCGAACGCTCCACTTCTTTCTGCTTTGCAACCAGCACAGTATCAAGCTCTCAGCAGCGGGCAGTCGGAAGGGCTCCCACAGGATCTAGGGTGCAGTGGTGACTACGGATGTGCGGGACACCTCGGGGGCTCCTTCCTGACCACGAGGCCAGAGCAGACTTGATGAGCTCACAGCTCCGGCCTGGTCCCCACCTTGCCACAGCCCTCCTGACGTGCACATCCCATCCCCCAGTGCTCACAGCTCCTGCTGGTGAGCCAGTACCTCCTTCTGCCGTGGGCAGATCGGCCCACCCTGGCTTGCCTCGTGCCCCAAAGGATGCGTGCTGTGCACCGGGCAGCTCGGGGTTCCCCATCTGCCAGCCTCAGCTGCCCTGCCTGAAGAGCAGAGTTTTCTGCTTCCTGTGACTGGGGACTAGTTCTGGCCAGAGCAACCCTGGAAAGCTGGCCGGTGTCCTCGGGCTGTGATCGAGGCTACACACACCTCTCCCAGTGAGGTCTGAATGCCAAGGAAGGGCCTGTGTCCGGCACGCTGTGCAGCCGAGGCCGTGGGTGCGCACAGTAACAACGGGGCGCTAAGTGAAAGCCAGCCTGTTGAGGGCTGTCACCAACCCCCGCCCCATTTCTCCGGACAGTCAGCACCCAGAACCCTTCCAGCAGATGCTCGCTAAAACGGGAGATGCCAGGACTGTTCTGGGGAAATGGAACAGGCCAAGAGAAAGAGTGCTTCTTTTGGTATTTGAACTTCTTGTAATACAATGGTTGGGGACCCCAATGCTGTCCTAAACTGAAGCGCACCACTTCAGACCACACAAAGTCCTCCCCATCAACTTCTGAACGCCTGAGTTTTAAATGAGGACATCTGGCCAAGAATCAACAGATAGTTGAGAAAAGTTTCCCAAAAGATGGAGGTGGGGACTCAGAGGACACAGCCTGTACAGTCAGTCAGAGAGTCAGTCAACCTTCTCTCTCTCTCTCTCTGTCTTTCTCTCTCAATCTGTCTCTCTCAATGTGTCTCTATTTCTCTCTCTTAGAGATAACACAATATATCCACCAGATTCAAACAGAAAGATACAAACATGTATGCAAAGATGCTTTCAGAGAAGAAGAAAGCATTCTTAGAAATTAAGTAGGTAATGATAATTCTTGACTGTGGTAAGGGTGACGTGGAATCTGTACATGATAAAGCTGTATACTCCCAGAATACCAGTGTCAAATATCTGGTCTTGATACTGTACTATAATTATATAAAATGCAATCACTGAGGAAAACTAGATGAGACATCTGTCAATTTTTGCTACTTTCTATAGATCTGTAATTATTTTAAAATAAAAAAAATTTTACTCTGTTATTGGGTTCTGAAAGCCCTGTAATGCTTTCATTCTCTTGAATGGTTTTATACTGTTTTGTTATGTTTGATACTATCGTATATGAAATTATGCTCAACTATTTCAAAGAAAGAGGCATGATGGTAGTTACTGTTAATTATGGGTTGTCTTGTGGTAAAATGCTGTGTTGCTTGCATTGTTCTGATCTGATCTGCTTTGTTGTACCCTCTTTTGTCTTAATCTCTTTAAAATAAAAAATAATAAAAAAATGTTTTAAAGAGGGTATTCACACATGTATGGAATTATTGGAAAACAGAGTTAAAGACAATCCAGAAAATAAAGCAATGACAAGAAAAAACTGTACACAGGTGTATGTTTGTGTGTGTGTGTGTGTGTATTTAGTGCCAGGGATGGAACCCAGGGCCTCGGGCATGCTGGGCAAGTCTCTACCACTGAACCGCACACCCAGCTCCAGGTGGGTGGTGGTAGTGATGTTTTAAATGGAGAAATCAATTTGGAGGCTGA